TTGTATAACTTGTAACTATAATTAACTACCTAATATTATTGTATTTTAAAGTATGATGTAAACCTTGTAAAATTATTGCAGCCAATGACCTTAAACGCAGAAGCTTTAAAAAAATAAAAATAAAATAAATGTGGCCAAAATATTTTTTTAAGCATGATCTCTCTCTATTTGTATGTTTAAATTATGATTTTTGGAATTTTTTAAGTATACCTAGTTTAAGAAGGTATTTTTGATAAATTAGTTTTTTCACAACATTAAAGGAGTATCTTGCAGTGATATCAAAATTGATTTGTGTATCAGATGGCTTTTCTGAAAATATTTAAATATTGTAATCAAAATTTTAATAAAACATTTTTGAGTTATTCTACTTTAAATAATCAATACTGAGAATTGAGGTCTAAGAATATTACTTAATTTTGTTTTAAAAATTATTAGATGCAATATAAATTCATAAAMATTTTGCTATTAAAACAAGTAGACTTAACTAGGTAGTCATCATTAACAAATATTTAAAACTWATCACGGAAGATCCCCATGCCAACTTACAGAAACTTATAGAAACTTACTATGGCCAAGCAAATGCTTCTCAAATGCTGTCAGTAGGCACAATGAAATATACATCAGACAGAAATTATCAGAAACAATCAGAAATATTTAGAAAATTAATAAATTTCATCAATTAAACTGAAATTGATGAATTATTTTATAAAACAATAGCTCTAATCTGATATATTATCCAACTTCACTATCCAACAGGAATCTCTTGATTTATCTTATATTGACAACGATACCGGTAGTTTTTGAATTTATATCAAACAAAAATCTATTTTTATATAAATAAATATAGATAAAGTAAATCAATACAGAGATGGAATGATAGAATAGAAAATGACCTAAAAAATTTCACCCCATTGTTAGATATGRGAAAGGCATTAGATAGAACGGTGGAAAGGCATTTTAGAAGCGGCGATGGTCCTGAATGAACTGCWATAAGCTTAGGAAGAAGGAATCMATGTATACCTATAATTATATAAATAGATAAAGGTAATTCAAAATAAATATCT